ATCATGGAGAAGGTAAAAGAGTGTAGAGTGTGGTGTGAACAGAGAGTGAATGGGAAAAGCAAAAGAGACAAGAAAAGGAAGAGGGAGAAGTGGACCATAGCAAAGCAAGAAGCGTTATATGGAAAGAATCATAAACCGCCATTATTGTAATGTAATGTCTACATTCATTTCTTACGATTCGTGGTAAGGTTTGGGCTAGTGCTTGCGATCTTGTTTTTGAATACCACCCAAACGTTCATTTAATCAACGAAGATAATTGTATATATGTAATTTTTATGTTCATCATCTTAAATAATATGAAATGAAACTTTACTTTCATTCCAACAATATCAATTTCACATTATGGTTAAATATTGAAGGTATGAATTTTCAGTTTTCACGATGATATTGTGTTTTTTCAATGGTACTTCATATTATTTAATGCATTAATTCATCGAGTGTGTGTTTCTTGTTGGTCTATTAAATGATTTGTTTCCATGTATTTTGAAATTACTAAAATCATTATTGTTTTTTTATTCACATGGAGTCATGTAGATTGAAAAGCTAGTTAGTACGACTTGCATGAAATAATTGTAAGATAATTATGTCTCGTGTAGGAAATATGTAATATATAAAGGGACTAATAATTAAATAATTAAATAATTAAATAATTAAAGACTAAATCATAAATGAGTTTAATGGAACATTTTCATAATTATTATTTGATGGAAATAAAAATTTTTAGGGATTATAAATATTTACTAATGTGAGACAATGTCCACATTTCTGGCAGAAAGTATTCTCTCAAACCCTAGTCATCACGAAAGATAGAGAGAGTAAAGGGAATGAAATATTGGTTCTCTTCAAGAAGATCAAAGCACTCTAAGGATCAAAAGAATTTTCTATTATGGAGAAAGGTACACACTTTCTTATTATTATGTAAGTATCATGAATTTCAAAAATCCTTTAATTTTCTATAATTGATGTATTAGAAAATCATAGAACTTACAATAACATCTTTTGAAAAAACAATATTTAGTAATGAAAATATTAAATGGTTTGATTATCTTATTTCATGTTTAAAATAGTTTATAATATTTTTAAAAATCTTTAATTTAAACTGATCCATGTTTGCTATATTTAAATGGCACAAAGAATAATAATATATATCGATAAGTGACAACATATTTCTTGAATTGTAGAAAAGCATGAATTTAGTATGCTATACATATGACAGGTTTTTTGAGTAAAATTTGTCGCTATAAGCCTATAATAGCAATTTGTAATTTTAACATTTCAAAATATATAATGGACCCCCACTTCCCCTGCCCACCCACAAGAAAAAAACAGAGATCACGATGCCCTCACAAATAGTCATTCTTTTTTCGTATAATTTATAAGAAATTGTATTATTATAGCAACCATTTTTTTCATAAATGAATTGTTTTGTGGTCCAAAGCAGCATGCAGCAACGAATGAACTAGAGGTTTCATCTCTGTCCATCATTATTTCTTCATCTGTTTTTAGCCTTGACTAGTAGTAGTGATGAATTAAAAATCTCAACACAAGAGCAAGGAATGATTAGTATCATGATGAATTTGTAGAATCAAAGTTCACCAAAATTTCACTCCATCGGTGCAGTCAGCAATACAACTTAATTAATCAATTAATGCGCATTGTCACAGATCTAGTTATCATAATCCATGATCATGATGGCTTTCAAGACCAATAGCTGGCAATTTTGTCATGCCACGTGATGAGACTGTTGTCTAGCTTGCATTGCTAGCTATTGCCTTCTAGTGATGCATGAATTCACTGAGATCAGATGCAACATTTTATATATAGTACTGAAAGTGCAATACAAATGTGCCAAAATACTTCTGTACATATATTTTGATTACATATTTTATGCAAAGGTTAATTGCTGCAGTGACTATCTTCTCCAAAGAGTCCAAGGGCTGGTAATTTTGCTAGTGTATTTACAAGTGTCAGTAAGTAATAATTAACATTAATTCATCATTAAGAAACATGCAAGTACTTTGGTAAGTATATTTTAGAATATATCCTTACTCTTCAACCTATCATGGTCTACAATGTACATGAAATTCATTTTTATTTTAATAAATAATTTGTTGTGAATTTTTCACTAAATTACAAAAGTGTTTATACTGCTAAGAGGTCTGTTCATCCAAAATCATCAGAGTTTCATGCTTGTGCTTTAGTTTGTCTCATTGTGTGGTGTCCTTTTGTGGTGAATATTCTGAATTCCGAAGGAACTCTGTTACACTTTTTGTGATTCCCCATGCTCCGCTTGGATTTCAACAGTGAAGTGATGGACATGGCATAGGTTTATTGTAACGGCAAACACCTAGGAATAATAATATACTACAATATATACTGATATATATGACAATTTATATTATACTACTTATAATTTTCACAAGAGATAATTAATGTGGTTGAAAGAATGAAAGTTTATATAAATAAGATAATATTATTAAGATTTATAGATAATTATTGTTTTTGTAATTCATCACTTACTATTTCATTTCTAATCTTTTATAACATTTCAAAAATAATTTTTGTTATTAACTTCACTAAAAAAATGTTACATGATTAATGAAATACATATTATATATTATATATTATTCGTTATATTTCACTTCACAAATATCATCTGGGTAATTGATTTTAAATTTTTTTTAAATGAAAATTTAAAATTGTCACTTCATCCTATTTTTCACATACATTCTCTTTGAATTGCGAAATATTCCATCCTGATTGTCGTTGATGATAAAGTTGGATCACTGACTTTCTTTATTCGATGAGATGTCATATTCATTGATGCAGTGGTAATCACAATAAGTGACAGTGATCTCGATGTCTTGAGCCAATCAACATAATTATTTTTAGTCTTAAAGGAGGCGACATTTGTGGCAACACCAACATAATAGTGGGCACTCGGGTGGCGCATGAGTTCATGTACAATAAGAAAGTATTAAAATGTGATGTCGAACTCTTTCATAGTGAAGTTATAATCAGTATCAACTTCACAAAGATGATTTTCATTGAGGATGACTCGATGTCATTGACAAGATGATGAATTGTAAGAAGTTGCTAGTCCTCAAGAAAATTGGAGTTAGGATTAGTAAATTTAAAGTTTGCAATATCAGATTCGGATCAAAAAAGAGAAAAATGATCGCGAGAGTAAAGATATAATAAAGTGCATTTTAAAATTTTATAAAAAACATTAAATTTAAATTATGTATTTGTCACACATAATTTTTATTTTTTTAATGAAAACCGACAATAAAATCTATTTTTAAAATGTTATAAATAAAAAAATTGGAACGAAACAGTAAAAAAATTTCAAGAATTAAAAGTGTGAAAAGCATTAAATTAGTGGACGAAAATTATATTTAAAAATATATTTAAACTTATTAGTAATATATTTGAAAGTAGAGTGTTGGAACACAGCTAATTCTTGCCTAGCTACCACAGACCAAACAAGTGAAAATTCTCTGCCTGCCACCCACACACAGGCCATATAGAGGTTGGTAAATGGTAACCATCACTCATCACGTAACGCAACCGACCTTAATTTATGTTATTCTTTCAAAACAAAACAAAAAATCTCCCAAAACCCCACCTATGTGTACTACCAAAACAATTCCCCAAAATAAAGAGGAAAAAAAAATAGAGGAATTGCACTCCATTGCAATATTTTGTTGTTTTCATTTTCCACCCTCATTGCAGGGTGTCCCTTGTTCAATGCTAACAGCTATGGGGTCCACAATTCATGCACAATGACTAATAAAAATTCAGAAAAATTGATGTTACTTTAGTCACAAGAAGAACAGTGATAGTACTAAATATTAATTTTACAACACTTCTCCGTACAAAAATGAGAAATAAAAAGAGAAGAGATACTAGAAAAGTATGAGGTAAGATAAATTCAAAATAATATAAAAATAATTGTAAAAACATATCATCATTTATTCAAGAAGAATAGTCATCTGCTAATGTTTTGGTTGATCACATATTTAGTAGAATTTTTTTGGTCAATCATATTTTTAAAAAAATTTGAAATCTTGTTTAAAAGATTGAACCAGTTCTACTTGAACCAACAATATGAAGTTGAAAAACAGCATTTGTTGTTAAGACCATCCAAATTCTAATGCATTTCATTAAATATTTTAAATTTGTTATATTATTATATTTCCTTTTCATTAATTTTCTTTTGTTTCTTTTAAGCATTCTAGAGAAATTTAGCTTCCATAAGACATGCAAAGAATAAAAGCAAGGTCCCACTCTGTCACTAGGAAAGAATCATGGCACTATTGCCTTGTTTGGTTCCCGACCCAATTTTTGCTCTAAAAAAATGGGAAATTGGAATTGGGCTAAATACTGAGCCTTTGGATAATTGGACTATATGAAGCACCAAGGCCTTTTTAGGCTTCTGAGTTCTGTTCTGACCAATTATTATTAACACTGCAAGGAAAGCAAAATCAATGATGGACACAAGACTATGCTTTATATGCTCTCAAACATGTCTTCATCACAAATATCACAAACTCTACTTGAGTACCATAACGGAATCTGGAAAAGAATCTTTTAAGCCACCATGCCCTGCACAGAGTCTTTGATAAGTCCAATTCATCTCATGAGTTTTGCATCAATATATTCAAAGATGTGCTAATACCACATTCTCTGTCACATTTTTCTAAGAACACTTTCTGAGAAGTTGAAAAGCAGAGGAAGATAATATAATATTGTGATTATAATTGCACAAATACTTTTTTTTCTTTAACTTTTTTGTTCATCTTCTTGCTTTATATATTGTGCCATCCTATTCACCCAAGACTTGCCTCCATCAACAATATTCAAGCTAGCTGCCATGTCTATCTTTAACTTTAACACAGCATTATTCATTTTTTATTTATTTATTATGAGATAACATTATTCAATATTCATACTACAAGTGTAATGACATGCCAAGTGCTCCACGGATTCTGTCTCTGCATAACAAAGGTGCATCAATCACCAACATTTGCTCATTTTGATATAACAAGAAGTTCTGTCTATTCTGCAACATTGTCACAAGTACTATGCAAACTGCT